TATTTTACACCCTTAAAATTGGGGTTGCTCACAGGTTGAGTATGGGATATTGAGGCCATAGCCCCTGCTTAATTTGATGAATTATTGATGAATTTAGGAAGGGTATATAACATACATTTCGCTGTTCTGAAGGCAGCCCATTTCCACCATAGGCGCCTGCACAGCCTAAAACATAGTGTCCACTATGTCTGAGGCAGCTACCCGAGGTACTGCCATGATCACCTACCCTTTCAGGATCATCAAAGCCAGAATTGCTCATGCCATTTTCACTCCCACATTGACTGAGAGATCTAAGTTCTGTCCCAGGCTTTGTGTCTTCTCCAGACATGGTCTGAATTTCAAACAGTGTAATTAAACAATGTAATCTAAAAAGGAAAGAAAAAGACACTGTGTGTTGTTTACAAGAGCCCTGCATAACTTTAAGGATTCCCTGACATGATGGATAGCAAAAATACAAGCCAATTAGCTCTAATTATTAGTACACTGGACAAAACTGTTCTGGATCGATGTTTTATAACAAAAAATTAAAACAAACAAAGTCAAGTGACATGTATAATAAACTTAAACTTACCTAAATTTCACACATGGAAACTTATTTTTATATGGATCACACAAGAAAGGCTTGCATTACACCTTGTCCAAATTTGGNTAGTCCCCAATATAATCTATCAAAATCGATACTAATCAAACCTTAATTAACGAAACCGATCAAAATCAATAATCACAAAGAACCTGGCCACCGATTCTGATCGATTTCTGATATCAATCGATTAATTATTATCGATGTTCATCGATTTTGATCGAGTATCGGAATTATCAATGTGTTACGTCCTGTTGAAACTTGCTTGTGAAAAGGTGACCACACCCAGTTTCCAAGAAACCACCAAATGTGATTCCAATACCTGTCAGACAGGTTTTAGCCGAGTCATCTAATTTATAGAGCTGTAGCAACATGTACAAGCACAGCCTCTAATATTACTTATGTATATACATGTATATATCGCTAAAAATCTATTTTAAATAACGTCTCTGGTCATGCAAGTCAAAACGTTGCCTTGGTTGCTAAATTCAAATTGAATCAAAATTTTCCGGTAGTTTCCGCTTTCGCCTTTCTAAGGTCTTTAATTCTCAAAGGTAACAAATAGGGCGCCAGTTGAATAACAAGGAAACTGTCCTCACTTGCTTACCTTTATCTCACAACTCCTTCAAATGGTTCACCTCAACCCATTGAATATATTATTAAAAATATTCCACAAAATTCTGAATCGAAGCTTGCAATGATCGTAAGCGATCCTGGAGATCGATATGTAACCACAGTGTCTGCAGTATAAGTCGGCCTACAGCAACTGCATGCAGAGAGATTCCACGAAATCCAGTTATATGATCTGTGTTCTCATTTCGAAGAAAATCACGTGGGTAATGCCTTTTATGGTAAGAAAAAAAGCAACGCGAATTCTCAGAAAATCGAAAGGTCACCGAAGCGGCCCACTAAATATTAAACATCCTCCGCTTCCGTGCGGTGTCATAAAAATCGAACGACGACAAACTGTCACCTCAAAACGATTTCCTATGAAATCAAGGAAAATCGTTATTTTTTATTAGTTTAGCATTTGCTAACAATACAAGCCTTATAACTCACCTGACGCGGGAAACCGTAATCATAGCACTCAGGTGACTGGGGCAACTTTAGGCGCAAGTCGCAAACGGACTTTCCAAGAAACCACTCTCCAAAAAACCTTCCAGAACGACAAAGGCGGAACTTCTCTCGACTTTAGACGTGGAAATATTTTCAAACAGCGGCTCTATCGTCTGATACAGGTACGTTTCAATGTTGACAGTCGACTAGTTTTTTGCAGCAGCGACGACGAACAAATAACCAGTCATAATCAGTCATAACCATTTCGAGTGCATACCCAAGGTTTCAAGCGCTAGCTGTACCAGATCGAACTACGGACTGCAGCAAATTTTCATTTCAAATGATCGTTCAGCCATCGATCACAAATGAACATAATCTTATCAAAGCGCGCGGTATTTATAACATCGGCAAGAAGTGTTGAAGCGGTGTTTTCCCGCCTCTCCCGACCCCCAGTGTCATTTCTGGTTGTTTTTACCCCGGGAGGGAGGACGTTCTGTAACTGGAAGGCGAGGGCAAGTATTTGACGAGGGTCCTCTCCGTTAGCTTCGGATCACAGCAAAACAGCTGGTTCAAATAACGTGTCACTTAAATTTCGGTTTATAAACGGCCAAAACGTTGAAAGTTGTATTTTCGCGTNACATAGTTCACATCCAGAAGACTACAGAAGACTTTGATGAACATCAGACTTCCTGTAGAAGAGCCAGCTCTAAAAAGATCTTCTGCGACAACCTTGATGAACTTAATACTGCTCTGAGGCAGTGCCTTGTGGGAGCAACACCCGAAGGACGACAGAAGCTGATCAGCAGCCTTCTTTCCTAGCAGGTCACACGTTCTCCAAGCTGACCAGGAATGCACGCGATTGACAAACTGACCAAGAAGAGCACATATGTACACCCTTTGAAAGGGAGTAGTGGAGGTTTGGTTTAGTATTTCACTAACCCAATGAATAAAGGACTTCACGTCTGCCTCTGCATAGCTTGGGTGACCAAAGCCCAAGTGTTCACACTCAATGAGCATCTCCTTAAGATCACCACCTTTACCTAGGGCGTCATACAACTGCTCGACAAAGAACATTTGTCCGAGGAAGATCTTTTTCATCTGGTTGCGCTCATTTGGGATATGAAAAATGTCATACTGATGCATTCCGTAATTCAATTTTCGAGAAGATGTCTCTTTTACAGTTTTGTCATCTTTTCCGCCAGTAAACTTTTTAACAAACCACGACCATGATAGTCCTTCTTTGTATTTTACCACATACCGATAACGAAAGGTTTCTTCATCATAAGCGTGTATGAATAATGGTGGGGACATCCAGTGATTTGTGCTCTCGGGACAACACTCAAGGTTTAGTGTCACACGACCATTTAACATTTGCTTCTCCGTGAGAATCTTGACTGACTCAACTGTTTCGTCCACATAAAGGTGAAAAACATACCTAAGAAACTAAAGAAATGACTTCTTTGAGAAAAAGCATGTTAAATTTGCAAGAACACTGTACTGCTGGTACGGCACGCCTATTGAAGCAAAATTTGAAATAGATTTTCTTTGAATTAAATCTCTATTTTATGGTCAATACAAGGCATACATGCCATTCAATTCGATGCTCATTCATCGCAAGGGTTCATTAAATTCAGTGCCAACTCAATTCAGTGACTAATTCATTTGAAAACATTCAATTCGTGTTAAATGTACTGCAGAACCTTTGGAACTCACAGAACATATATTTTACTATATTACTGTTTCAAACATAATAGGTTGTAAATGTCTATTTACAGAAGAAAAAAATTAATGTTGATGATTTTGTATGACGGGTCACTTGACTTACCTATATACATGTAAAACTAAGCAAGAAAAAAAACAAAAAGCAAAAATATCACTTAAAAATCCTGATGGAGGGTATTTGTACCTTTATATTCATCAAGTAATATATCAAACACGAAAGACCGTGTTTGACCACATTTCCAAACACCGAGGAGAGAGAGACGAAAATATGACGTGCAGTGGAGTACTTTTGACGAACTTCGAGGTGTTTGAAAATCTGGTCAAACACTGTCTTGAGTGTTTGGTATCAGTTGCAATATCCAAGTTTACAATTCAGAAGGGCATCATGACCATCAAGTGGGTTACAACTTTTCGTCACATGATACGTCACATGCTGGGGTGCGTACTAAATTAGGGTGCTGCAACAGTATTTGGAGGTTCCACAAGCAGTATGAAGGAAAATTGAAAATAAGAAGCTTAGACAACATGGTATTCCAAATTGATTACCCAAAAGGAAAGGTTTTAAAAGGAAATTAAAGAAGATAAACTGGAATTTTCAGAGGGGTGGGGAATCAACCTGAAAAACATCTAGTGGAAAAGTAATTGGAAATTTCCCGCAACATAACATATCTGCATGTCCAGCCAATATATTACACATTTGTGAACTCATAACCCAAGTACCTGTTCTGGATTTTTTGTGGGTTTTTCTGGTTCACAGTTTTCTTCTTCCTCTGTGTCACTCAGTGGAGGTCTGTCATTCTGCATACAATCAAAAGCAAAAACCATAAAGACACCGTGATTGGGCAAGAAACTTGAAAATTCTGATTTCATTAGTGTAGTGTTTCTGTTGTGACGTGTCAGTCACATGATCACTGGTCTATTATGGGATGCGGTAAACCGAAGCATGTGGTCGGAGAAATGAGAGCAGAAATAAATCTTGTTGTTGTTATTGTATAAGCTCTTTTGGTCTACTTGCGCCCGAACCACCACAATTAGCAGACATCAAGTCATGCAAAAGTTAAGAAAAAAAAGTAAATTAAAGATTAAAATTCTGATAGAAAGAATTTATAGCTTGATCTCAATTTGCTCTAAATAAAACTCTGCAAAAAAGGGAATTTAAAGAATTTATTGAACCCAAGATGGCAGTGAAACAAATTCTCCTAGATTAGCACCATACTAAATGCACACAGGAATGGAACGAGAATTTGCAAATTGGTGAAAGGGTTTAAGACGGGTCCCACCAAAAGTTTGAGTAACAAAGCCACAAAAACTTTGTACAGAGATTGTTTACATCTGATGCAAACTTCTCTGTCACTGTTTTAAATATCTTCTCAAAAGAAATCATTTCTAACAACACCAAATGTCGAAAACAGATGTTGAAGTTCATATGAGACACTTAAAAGTACAGGTGAAATAAAACTGATAATGAAATTTTATCCGTGTTTGATCAATTTCAGTGAACTTTGAAATTTCTTTTCTCAAGTTTCCGTGGGAAATTGTTTACGGTATTATTTCAGGCACATATTTATATCTTTAGCTTTTAGACCAGGCAAAAAAGATTGTTATATACTCACAATTATTCTGGTACAAGGTTTTTGTCCACTTAAACCTGAAATTGCTCGATTTCCTATTGGATTTTGCCTTAAAAGGGTATAATTTATGTTAAGTACTGTATCAGCCTAATACCAAGTTTACTTAACAACATTCACGAGCGGAAAATGGACTGTAATAAAGAGAGGATTTCAGGCAGCCTGATTTACTTTGCATAAGGAAATAACTTGAATAAGCAATGTTTCTTGGGACTCTAAATATTATTGTCATCTTGCAAAAAAAAGCACTACTCCATATCTTAAAACTTAAAGCATTAATGCAACAGGTTTAGAAAGCGTCATATAATATTAATTATACTATAGGAATTTTGAAGTCATGAGAGTATTGATGATTTTGCAAGAAAAAGCAATACACTTGTGTGTCTTGTTGGTTTACACTACACATGCCTCGCTTGTATGTCTATAAGAGCTCAGACACAAGATAATAAACGCACTGCAACTTCAGGAACCCAACAGCAATCTGTAGTATTGGCAGATTCAACAGATGCACACAATTGGGTGCTAAGTCACAAAAACATCACTTTCTGTATACTATGTAATCCTCCTCAATCTAGCAATGAACTTTCACCCACATGCCTAAGTGTACAGTGCCTAATGTATACCATAAACACAATCATAATCAATGGTCGCATGTTGGTGAACTAGTTGCACTACATCAAAGTTCTTAGGTGGAAAGTCCTTGGCTGCAGAGTCATGAGTTTAAGTGGGCTGAGGCAACAGTATACTTGCTGATGTTGTTAACACAAGCTGACTTCAACTGAGATGCCAAGGTGCTGTAGCATTGCATTAGTTGGTTCAGGGTATCTCAAAGGGTACCACTCTTTTCATCGCATACAAGGCATGGCACAGTGTAGGAGGTGGCACATTCTCTTAATACTAGGATGAATTGACAGCTAACCACCTGATGATATCAGCTGCAGGTAGATCTTGTGACGACTGGCTGGAAAGGGAGTTTAGAAACTTCTGGAGAGAGGTACATGTGTGGCAGGACACATCACTGATAGCAGTATCATTATCCAGGGAAAAAAGGTGGCACTGTACAACCATTTGAAGATGGTGCTCTTAAAGGTGGTCTAGTTTCATGTCAAGGGTGGTAAGACCATGAAGTATAGTGCATGGTACCACAATCAATCAGTCAGTGGGGGGATGTGGGGGCACTAGAGTGGAAGTTGATGTTGAACGGCAAGCAGGCTATTCATGGATATAGAGCTGGCACTGAGATCTAGCACTTTCCATGTGCCTTTCATGCTTATAGTTACCTTTTTGAATGGTCGGGCACCAGCCTTGTCTTAAGTGTGGGCAGATGTGGCATAAATTATAATATTTAGAGAGGAAGCCACATCAGCCACAATAATTTTTCATGTGGATCCTCTATCCTGATCAAATTGGAGATGTTGGTTTTTGTGGAGAGAGAAAAACCGGCAAACCCAGAGAAAAACCCTTGGGGCAAAAACAAACTCATCAACATATGGCACCTGGCAGAATCGAACCCAGGCCACCTTTATGGGAAATTAGCACTCTCACCACTACGCCATCACTGCTCCTTGTAGTTTGGCACACTCATTTTGGATGCTAAACAATGCAGGTCTGCTAGTGAATAGCATTGTCTACAATTTCCTGAACAGAGACACTATGTACGACTGAATTCTCAGTTTCCTGAAACTGGTTGTGGTGTTTTCAGTTAAGATGTTCTCTGCAGGGTCAACTTTAATTTGACAGCATCCAAAAAGAAAGCCAGACTGAGGTGAGAGGCCTCTGCTGGAGTGGGGAGGTAATGGGTTGGGTCTTACCATCTAATAGGATGAGTGGTGGGATCCTCGGCTGTGGTGAGATGCTTGGCAGGGCTGTTCATGGCATTGAACTATCTTCAGTAGTGTTGTTAGCTACACAGATCCTACTGAAGGTACTGCTACTGCTTATGCAATATGGGGCTGACACTCCAGCTGTGAGACTTTAAAGCATTTGTTGGATGGTGTGTCTGTACTGGCCTCTCTGGTAAGGGTGCAGTCAGGGCCTAAGTCAGGGGTTACTTCCATTTCGAGATACTCACCCAGAGGGACAGCAGTGGCAGGAGTGGACAAGCGAAGTACGCAAGATTGGGTGCGACAAATTGCTTGGGTATGGGGGTTGGCAATTGTCCCTGCACTCTAAGTGATGACTCTGATCTGAAGACTTGCCCCTTGGCTTGGCAGCCAATTTGTAATTGATGATCATGAACAAGGCTGCTGCCTAACAGGCTCCCGCTCGCCTGAGGCACCTAAGTTACGAGTGCAGGTGACTAAAGTTTTGTTCAAGGAGCCCGAGTGGGTGCCTAAACATGGAGTTTTCATTCCCACCTCATCTTTCAGATGACTTCAATCTTCCCATTAAACAGGTCAAAAAATCATTCACACAATAAATTAAAACAACAGCCACTATGGCTGTTGTTTTATGGAAAACTATGGAAAACAACAGCCACTATAGTCCTGTTTTGCTTTTATCACAAGAAATATGGGCCAAAACACAGCAACAAAGTCTCTCTCTGCTCACAGGCTTCCAAAGCTGAAAATTCGACTCTGCATAAATGCATGGTGTATGGGACAGTTTGTGTATATAGGGAGTTGTATGGGAAAGTCACCAATCATAAAAAAAATTGTTTAAAAAAATATCTAATTTGAAATAAAGTTTTCCTACCTCAAATGTGTCATGTACTTGTCTCTTGTGCCAATTTTCAAGCCAATCTGACGCCGTTTAGTGAAGTTATTCGAAACACAATAAACAATAAACCAAACGTATGAAAATCGGTAAAGCATGAATTTTGTTCGAACCAGATCTACTATAAAAAAAAAATAAAAAATAAAAATAAAATAAAGTAAAATTGTTAACATTATCAGGCATACATGGTAAACGTTTTTAAAAAAATCTATTGAGCACTTTTTAAGATTTTCAAAAAAGCGCTTAAAATCGAAAATTGTTCTCAATTTATCATGAAAGTGATGTTGAGGAAAAGTCTCGTTCTCAAGATCAAGAAAACACAAACCAACAAATCTTTCATGGCTTCAAAACAAAACTTCAAGACACATTTTGGTGTCTTTTGGAAATATTTCATTAAAATAGCATTCTTCTTTCAGTCCATTCAATTTCATTAAACAAAAAGCATGGTTTGAAATGTTTTTGCGATTTATTTGAAATCAAACATACAGAATTCCTTTATTCTTGCATATATTCCCCTTGCCACACATGTACATTATAATTTAAGAAATTGGCATCAGCTTTTCTATAACAGATCTGGTTTGTACAAAATTTATGCTTTACCGATTTTCATATTTTTGGTCTATCATTCCCATGGAAATTACAATTACCTTAAAAAATACATTCAACCAAACTTCAATCTTTTTCCAAAAACTGGTGTTATTCCACATTGATCAGAGTAAGTAAAGGTTGGTAAAACACCAAATGAAAAATGCTTGGTATGGTCCAGAAAAAACTGTATCAAACCACCACTCTGCGATACCTGAACGTAAAAAAAATTTCAGTAAAAGAAAATCATCGCTGAAATTATAACAACAAAAGGGAAATGAACCTTTTACTCAAGCAAAGAAGAAGATAACATTGATCTATGAAACTTACTCTGTTGAAGCCATGAACAAGCAAATTTACATTTTGTACCTTTCAAGAATGACATTTCAGCCCCCTTCAAGTCAAAACTTAGTCGGAAAAAAATAACTGCCAATTATAAGTGGTAAAAAGTACAACATCATCCCAGTGTGTAAAAATTTTTATCTTCATCCGAAGTTCAGGTTTTGCAGTTTGTTAAAAATTGTTCAGTGTACACAATTTCATCCAGGCCAACTTGGAGAAGTGTTCATGAAATTTATTGCACAACTGACCTTCATGGTTTGATGCTAGCACAGCTGACATGCAATCTCAGAACAACTTCAACAGAGCAGCTTTAATCCCTACAGAAAGGTCCTTACAGAAGCTTCGAATTGAACAGACCAGGTAAACAAACACTTTTCCAGCTCTTATCTGATGTGGATATTTTAGCAGCACTCAAAGCACTCAAACTTTCTCAAAGATTAATTTCTTCTCTCCTACTTGCAGGACGGCATGGGCTATGTCCCACATGATTTTAGTCAGCCAATATTGTATTGCTGGGTTAACGATTTTGGTGGGATGATTCCCATGACAAGTTTGCTATTTGTGTGGCCTGCTGGAAAATCTTCACCAAAGAGATTTCCTGGATGCTGTCGCAAAGAAAATGTTCAAGGCCAAGTGAGCATAACAGCCAATTTTCAGAGTTTACCATCAGAAGATCATCGCTGAATGATGGTCACTGGAATCCTGACAGGTAATCCTACCTAAGGACTTCTGATTACAAAAATCATGTAGAAATGTCAAAACAAAGAAGCCACCCAGTACACACCCAAGAGTCAACAAAAATCTTCTATACAGCATGTTAAAGCACTTGGCTAGTCATCCCCATTCAAGGCTCCAGTTCGTCCAGACGCGATCGGCATGGCTATAGATAAGCTAACATGTGTTGGATTTCGTCTTCACGGCTCATTTTTGATATGCCAAACTTTAAGAATGAGTCTCTATAAATATTAGCAGAGCTCCAGCGGCCCAAAGGGCTGCCAGGCAGAGCCCCATAACTATAGGAAGAGAACCACATGCATACATAGAAATAGAAAACCATGCAACTCTTTTTTCATGGTCAACATAGCTAGTGGCATGGATCACGGGCACGTGCGCCCAATAACAACGACGACATCACGCAACATGGTGGCCATACTCCAGCTAATAGGATGACAGAGGCATGCAGCCTTGGTTTACAGCATACATATTTGATATTGGACATCCATGTTATAGCTAATTGAAACCTCTCAAAACAAGATATCTGCTGACCAATATCATGTGACCATATCGTGACTTCAGGTTTAGAGCTTGTCAAGGTAACTATATTTTTTTTTAAGTTTTCCACTGGCCAATTACTGGTTTTCGATTGGATCATGGGCTCATGTCAGGTTAACTTGATGTAATGAGCTGGGCCAGGTTGTTCGGAAGCTGATTTACACTAACCTAGGATTAAAAGTTACCAAAGTATTTCTTTTGTATGTTTTTTTCACTGCTTATGTTTTGCATTGTATGAGAGAAAGCCAAACAAAATAAACAGAAAACCTAACTGCAAAGATAAAAAAAAAAAAATCAAAATTCTTGCTTCTCCTGGGTTACCTAGCTTAATCAGGCTTTCAACAACCCAGCCCAGGAGCTCCACTTTTACGCTTGGCTAAATTTATATATCAAAACTATAACTAGATATGGCTCAAGATCACTCACTCACTCAGTTTTAGAGTGGCAGTTGCTTCCATGGTTAACCATGAAGTAGTTCATTTCAAGAGCAGGTTTAACACACCCTTGCTCAGATTTGTGTTTTGGCCACAAGAATCTTCAAGTTCTTGGCAGGAATTTCTATGCAAGAACTTTTTCTCGGCAAGTATTTCGTTCTCACCAGGAATACTACCAAGATTTTGCTTCCTGGCAGGATTCTCGCCGGGATCGTGGAGGAGATTTTTTCTTGGCAGGATCCTGGCAAGAACAGTTTTCTGGGCAGGATTCTTGCTGAGATGTGCAGCAGGAAATTTTTCTGGGAAGGATCCCACTGCAAAAACTGGCCTCCTCAGTGGGATCCTGGCAGGATCCCAGCGTATGCCAGGATTCTTGGCGGGATCCCGCCAAGATTGCGCTATCTATTTTACAAGGGTCCACAAACACTTTACAAAGAATTGAATAAACAAAGCCCAGACAGGATATTTTTCTATTGAAGATTTGGTCATCATAAAACTACCAGTACACAACTGGTAACCAGGATGTACAATGTTTAATTATATAAATACCTTCACTGAAGGATCACATTGCTCTGCAGTAGCATGACCTCTGCTCGACACCAGGTCATTTTGACCATGGGCCCCTGGACATCTGGTAAGGAAATCTTCCATCACATCATGTGCATGTTTTGGCCAATCTGTTGGCTGGTTTCTACCATGATTGTAGGGGTCTGAAATATTGCCATGATCGCCTGTTCTCAGAGGAACACCAAAGCCAAGATTGGTCCTCCCATTCTCACTCAAACAACTGCCAGAGTTAGCTTGATACTTTGTTTCTTCTGCAGACATGTTCTATGGATGAAAAGCAGGAAGTGAGCGTCGTTCTTCAACAGCACAGACTTTACTCGAGTATTTGGATTTTCATTAAAATAATATCCTGCAATCATGGAGTGGGATCTCTTTGAGTCTGAGTGGCTGCATGAAAAGGCAACTGACTGTATCCCCCTGTCATGAACATGGTTAGTCACAACAAGAAGAAAGAGATTCTATTTAGTTATTTCTTTTTGACGTAGTGCTACTGTGCCTTTTGGGGATTATAACACCTTGACGGTTTACAAACTTTTACTAATTAAATCTTTTTTTTCCCAATAACTCGTGCCCGTTTAATATTACTCACTTGCCCGTTTGGCGAGTAAAATTTTATGTACAATTACACTGTCTTCTATTTTTCAATTTGGCCTGGAAATTTTTCTGCACGCTGATAAATGGTTAAAAATTGTTTAAATTTATAACTCTGTAGAAAAAAGAACTAGCAATTGAGCTCTTGATGTAATGATAGCGTGAGCAAAGAGAATTTACATTTTGATGACCAGTGTCAACTTGGTCTTTTTTTTTCATTGTGATATTTTCTAAAAACACATGAGTGGAAGTTTGTGAGCACAAGAAATGCTGAGGGGAACACAGCTGACAGGCAAGCGTTTCCACAGCTTTTTCAAGTTATCCCAAAATTTCATGAGTATTCACCACTCCCACATCCCCCATAATACACCTTGTTTGTCCCCCAAAATTCTGCATATCCTTTGTTTCCCATTTCTCCTGAGTATTACAGTCATCCCAAAAGAAACTGAAGACAATGCTTATGCAAAAGTTTGGGGGGCAGACAAGATGTATTATGGGGGATGTGGAAATGGCAAGTACAGTACTGCTCAGAAGAAACCTAACAGGGAACACGTTTGCGAACGGGTACAGAACTGATACAGAATGGGTATGAGAATGCCAACAGAACGGAAATGGAATGGATAGGATAGGGAACGGTAACAGACCACAAAAATGGAAAAAAGTGTTCCCCTAGAACACAAACTATAAGAGAACGTGTTCTTCAGAATGCAATTGCTAGTAAGTTACGCTATCAGAGTGCTCACCAGGGATTTGGAAACGATGCAACTTTAAATAGACGTTTGTCCAATTTTTGTCCTCCCCGGTTATCTTGAGAAAATGACAGAATAAATCATCTTATACATGTTATTCCAAAATGGCCGCTATTTAAGTATTCTTTACTTGCAAATTAGCCCTTTTTGCCTCGCTCTTAAACTCGAAATTCAAAAGAATATTTTCCCTTAAACGAGGTAACAAGGGTTCATTTTCAAGTAAACAAAAGAATACTAAAGTGGCGGCCATTTTGGAATAAGGTGTATGTCTTTTTCTTATTTCTTCTTGCAAGCACTAAGCAAGCATCTTATCTGCACCTTCTTGTCCATTTTGTGTTCATCACGGCAATTTTTTTTATAGCCAACACGCCCAAGTTATATCCAAAAAAGGAAATGGATGGACGAGTCAAGTTAGACCCAGGGATTGAAAGGTTTGCACATGAAAAAAAAACAAAACAAAACCTCAATGTTTTGGTTAACGATGTTAGCCAACTTTCCAGAAGGATCGGTGAGGATAACATTCAATCTTAACTGAGCATTCGCCTGTTAAAATAACATCACTAAAAATATCACAAAATGTTGAGTGTTGCACTCGCTACAGCTTGTTGGCAGTACTTTGCACCACTTTCGTCCTCCATCCAAGTTTCCACCACATTCGCCGAACAGTTTTTGGTGATACTTCAATGTTAAATCTCACTTAAATATTCGTATAAATACAAGAGCCGAAAATTTGTCTTTTGCTCACATTTCTCCATTGATGATGTTGAAAGTGCTTGGCAAGCAGGTTACATCTTCCTTTCATCGGATAATCACACACTGACTACCTGCAGTCACTTTGTATCGTTTCAGAAAAAGACACTCTCACTAGCCTTGAAGTTATACCATCTTCTTCCCGTTTTTTTCAAGTAACTTTATTGTTTGTATTCTAGCATAAGGTGTCGGTTTTAACAGCGTGTCGCTAATTCCTTGGAAGCAATCTTGTAAACGAGTTCTCAGAAACTTCGTTCTTATGAATGAGTTCCGAGAACGCTTACTGATGGAACACTAACAGAACGGGAACGGGAACAGAACAGAACAGAACAGAACGGATAGAGAACAGATATGGAACAGATATGGATTGGGTATGGAATGAATATGGAACAGATAAAGAACGGGAATGGGAATGCCTGTGGCACGGCAACAGAACTTGTTCTGTCAAGCGTTCCCTTTAAGGTTTCTTCTGATCGGTACTGTAAGTATAAAAAAATCCCCACAGATTAGGGAAAATAAAATAACTAAAGCAATTAACACTCTGATTGCTGTTAGGTATCTGAAGGTCTAAAAGGAAAAAATACAAAGGAAGGGACTTCCTTACATTTGCTTTAAATCTATTCACATATTAAGTAGCACTTAATGAATGTCTTTTGGCAAGATATTCCATCCATCTAATAGCCCATGAAATAGGCCTCACACACGATGTTGGTGTACAAATCAAAATTAGCAAAATTTGTTTTAGAAATGCTGTAATTCGCAGGTTATTAATTTTTTTTTTCTTCAAATGAGCACCATCTTGTAGCAATTTTCATGTAGTTTCCTTCCATCTTAGCTACGTCTCAAAAGCGCTTGTGCCTTTCTTGTAAGGAGTCAAAATCACACATACTCTCCATTCTAATCTTCGCAAGTAGTGTAACACATCAGGCCGCATTTTACGCTACTCTTATTGCGCCCATTGCAGGCACGATTTGCCATTTTTGCCTTTTGGCAAATTTTGCTTTTTGCCAAAATTGCGCACATTACTCCTTTTGATGGTTTTTGCTTTTGCCTTTTGCGCAGGCCAAAAAATCACACCCCTTTAGCTTTTTGCATATTTTGCATTTATTCCAAGTACACTAAACTGAGCTGGTTCAATTCCAAATGTAAGCTTCCTTAATCATAATACAGGTTTTGCAAGGCAAAGCGTTGCAAATTATTGTCAAAGGAGCTCTTTTGAATCACAAAAATGGAATCACAAAAATGGAGAAAAGTGTTCTCCAGAATGCAAACTATGAGAGAATGCCACATGCTAGTAAGTTACGCTATCAGAGTGCCCACTAAGGATTTGGAAACGATGTGACACACGTTTGTCCAATTTTTGTCCAGCCCGGCGATCTTGAGAAAATGACAGAACGAATCATCTTATGTCTTTTTTTACTTCTTTTTACACACACTAAGCAAGCATCTTCCCTGCATCTTCTTGTCCATTTCGTGTTCATCGCGACCATTTTGTTATTAACAAGCCCAAGTTATGTCCAAATAAGGAAATGGATGGACAAGTAGAGTTAGACTGGGATTGAAAGGTTTCCACATGAAGAGAAAACAAAACAAAACATTGATCTCTTGGTTGACCTTTACTTTGTTTTTTTTTTTGGTTGACCTTTATTACGGTGTTGTTCGCCAACTTTGCGGAAGGATCAGCAAGGATAACGTTCAATCTCAACTGAGCATTCGCCTGTGAAAATAGCATCACTAAAAGTATCACAAAATGCTTGCTTTGGCTTTTTGTCAGTACTTTGCACCGCTCGCATAATCCAGCCTTTATTATGGTGTTGTTCACCAGCTCTCAAGTGGCAAAAGCACCCAGAAGGCAAAATTAGCAAAACATCAAAATGGCAAAAATAGCGCAGGCCTGAAAGGCAAAAAAATGCGCGATGCCGGAGGCGCAATTGCCAAAATGCAAAATTCGCGCGAAAGGCAAAAAAGGAAAAAAAGTGCTCAAAACGTGCGAACAAAGGCACAATAAAATGATAAAGTTTTTAAATTAAAAACGTGGTCTCACACTAGTTTTTTAATCATATTTTTTGACAGATACAACCACAAATGAAAGAATCACACCATTTTAAAGCAAAATTTAGGTGCACTTCGGAGACACCTTCTTGAATTGAATTGTTCACACTAAGAAGTTAAAAATTATAATAATGCACTTTACGTTTTGGTCAAAAAATGGGGGAAGAATGGCACTTTTTGCCTAACCTGTTTCCGGAATTTTGTTATTGTTCTTCTAATAAATCTCTTTCAGACAGAAAATTTTGCTTTTTGGGGTGCACATAGATGGAATTTTAATTCTGCAAAGTTTTACGACCACTGGCTTTAAGAATGACGAGAAATAATAAGAAATCTAGCGTCATACCATTTTTGTTACACAATTGTACACCAACATCGTGCGCGAGGCCAATAGCCTTCTCATTGATGAATTAAAATTATTGTTCATCAAGAAGGCTATTTCTTCATGAAGGAGTCAAGATAGTTTTCTTTCAAAAACTGCATATACAAAGGTAAGGGTTTAAAACTTGCAGCAGATCAGGGCTCCCTGCATAAAACTTTGTTGAGCAGTAACCCCCACCCTCCACCCTCCAATTTCTCCACACTGGATGTATTTAATTGCAACAGCATGTGTCCGCTTGTCACAGTTCACATGGATTCTTAAGTTTTTGACTCAGAAAAAATTAACCATTGTGGCCTGGATGTGAAAAAAAAGTCAGATGTCTTCTAGTTGTGATCACAATATATATTGAGAGGAGCCAGATATTAATCACAACAAACGTTGAACATTTTTTACTGATTATTCAAGCTTCGAGAAAGATTTGTATGTCACTTGCAAAACACTAGAATATTTAAAGATGAAAAAATTCCTCAGCTGACCGAGTCATACATTCAATAATATTCAAACCAGGGTCAAAATTTTCCACTTTGAATAGTAATTTCTCAAACTCAATAATTCATCAAGTTTGAACAAAGGAAATCACGACCGTGACGGTGTTTGGACATCTGATCTTAATTAGCTTAGATTTTTACAACTTTAATTCTCCATGTTCTCCTTAGCTTTAGTTTCTGTTGAGAAGATATCATCAAACAACCACATTTTCAAATACCTTGAAGTTCATCGAAGATACTCCACTGTGCATAATATTTTCAACTCTCTCCTTGGTGTTTGGAAATGTGATCAAACAAGGTCTTTCATGTTTAATATATTAAGTAAACTGCTTTGAATAACATAATTGATAAAGGGCATAATACATGCAACCAAGAAAGACACAAAAGAAATATAGACTTAGGTAATTAACATCTGGCTCTTTGCCAGACACACATGCTGCTAATAAAAAAGCCCTTTGTACAACACTTGCTTCTAATAAACAAGTTTAAATAACAAATTTGCATTTCAATTTGTTGGAGTCGACAACGACCCCACCCAATTTCCAAGAAAGTCTGGAATCTTGATATACTGGTTAGACCGGTTTCCATTCTCATTTGGTCAGGTTGTGCAGGATGTTACAACCTTCAGAATGCTACAAAACTCCTTACTCAATAATATTGACTATTATTAAATACAATCTTTGGAAAGAAACAAGTTCAGTTGTGCGTGAGTAAGCTTAATTGTAGCCAACTGAGAATCACGTTTCTAAGGTGCATCCGCCATCGACTCAGATCTTTCCGAATTTAAGAAAGAAATAACCAGTTCATGCTTCCGCTTACCTTAGCTCAGTTCTTCAGAACACAGAACACCCAGTTTGGCAAGTTGTTGAAGCTCCGCGATGCTAGCATTCTAAAAGTATAAACCCAGCCCGAACTACGCCAGGTGTCAGCAGCTGGATGCAAACGTTTCCACGGAACAAGTAAGCTAAATACGAGCTTGGGTTGCTTATGACCGCTTGTGTTCTCATTTCCGAGAAACCCACGTGGGTAATACCTTTTATGGTAAAGAAAATAAGCAACGCGGATATTCTTAGAAACGAACTGAGAGGTCACTAAAGCAAACCTTCCGCACTTCCGGTCCGCGACTGCACGGTTTCACAAAAAATCGAACGAAGACAAACTGCTCAAAACGATTCCGAAGGAAAAATCGATATTTTTTTTTTTAACAATTGAGCATTGCTAGCAATATTAGCCTTAAGCTTAACTTACCTAACGTGGGGAAACCGCAATCACTCATAGCACTCAGTTGACCTAGGCAATTAGGCACAAGTTTCCAAGAAATCACACTCCGAAGAACCTTCCAGAGCGATTAAGGCGGAACTTCTCCCAGCTGAAGACGTGGATAGACTTCTCAACAGCGGCTCTACCGTCTCGTACAGGTACGTTTCTGGTTTGACATATACAGTCGACCTGCTTCTTGCAGCAGCATCGACGAAGAGAGATAAATAGCCAGTCTTATTTCAAGTACATGCGCAAGGTTTGTCAGGTTTCGATCGCTAGCTGCACCAGATCGAACTACGGACTGGAGCAAATTTTCATTTCAAATAATCCATTCAGCCATCGACCAAAAATGACCACAACGGTTCTTTATCTCTTATCTTACCACGCGGTCCAAAGGCATTTATTTATCTTCGGTGAGTCTGGGAGGGGTGTTTTTCCCGCCTCTCCCTACCCCCAGTGTCGTTGTTCGTTGTTTTTACCCCGGGAGGGAGGACTTACTGCAGGGCGTGGGAGGGCAAATAATATTCGATTAGGGTCCTCTCAGTTAACTTGGAATCATAGCTAAACAGCTGATTCAAATAACGTTTCATATAGACTTCGGTTTACAAATGGCCGAAATGTTTCGCTGAAAGTTGTATTTTTGCGTTTTTTTTTAAAAACATTAAAATGTATTCTTTTCACAGTAAGAAACGCAGCACTTACAGAAATCCACAATATGATATGTATATTATATTTACAATACATGTGCTACAGTTAAAGTACACCTGCCAATTTTTTCCAAACACAGGCGTGAGATTTTTATCCTGCGGGTATTAGGTCTATTACGATTTCCGAAGAAGATCCAATCTTCTCCGAAAACGTCCGGAGATATCCGAAGACCTTCCGAAGATTTTCGAAGGCTTTTCGTATATTTCCTTGTTCGAGTCCCAGCCCCGGGATGCGTTTCATGCAAAAAACCCCTCTCTCTGTCACGCAACGAACCATGCGTTGTGTGACAGGGAGCGAAGGACTCTGCAACGTGCGAGTGTCACTGCCGGGAATTGAATTTTGTTATTTTTGCCAATCAGCACAACGAAACCACGAACTGATTTTTCGTTATCGCTTTCAGGACCGTGTGAACATGTATTGTGAAATGTGCAAGACCAGGAAACTTCGAAGAGAATTTCCCTTAGATACCATGACGGAGAAGTGCGATCACGCCCCTTTGCATTGTCTTAGGGTAAGTATTAAACTTAAAGAAAGCCAAAGATTGCTGGTCGGTAACATCATAGTGACTTATAAATTCGTATGTATTTACAGTGCGTGACAAAGCACGTTCAAAAGTCTCATAAGTGTTCTCAGTGCTCTCAAGCCATCAGTACAAGTGACCCAAGGTACCTTGAATGCATAGCAACTCTTGAGAACCT